TGAGGGAGAGTAGGTTTGAAGCATTGCATATTTCAGGGATCTGACCTGAAAATAAAGGATGAGGATTTGCGATAAATATGAGAATTAAAAAATCCTTTGGTTAGCTTGAGAATATGAACCGAAAAGTTGAATTAAATGTGAGGTAAAGCATAGAAGAGCCACAAGTAACAATCTTTACAGGGTGCTGCACTTGAGTTGCAACTTTTCTGATCAAGTGACAAAGGGAGGTGAGACGTTCACAAGAAAATCAAACTTAAAAATCCTGCAAGAATGTGATAACACCACCCAAGAGAATGGAGGAAAAAGAAGGATGCTCTCATTCTCACTTAAATCATGAAATCTTCCCAAAAAAAACAGACTATCAGTTGCTGTCTACAATAAACGACATAAACAAGTGACTAATAGTGATTTTCTTTTGGCTGGTAATCTTTCGTCTTGTGATAAGCAATCTTGCACAGAACTCCTCACAGTCGAAACAAAAATTCCTGCTCAAAAGGCGACAAGAGAAGAAAACAGTTACAACATAATCCTCCATCCTAGAGTCTCAGTCAGGTCCTGGAGGAGAAAGGTATTACGGCCAAAATGTTTTCATGCAAATTTGAATAGAACAAGGCCCTCAACAGAATCTCGTGGTGAAAGGAAACCTTGATAACACAGCTACCTGGCTCGTTCGGTTAAAATTATCATTTGGCTCTTAAAACACGTACCTTTGAAGGAAGCAAGGCGTTGACTAAGTCGACTGAGATGGAGAGCGTAAGCCTCAACTTCAGCCACAGAAACGCGACACCTTCGATTAAGAGCGTCCACCCGCATCTCCTCAATACAGGCGTCGAGATCTTTCAACCAGGCCTCGATTTCTTTCCTTCCCGCCTTGTAATCAGCTATGTGGCTGTCGAGACTTAGTTGGACCAATCTCACGGGTGTTGCACCTTTCGACTTCGACGCGTTGAGCAGTTGCTGTGACATTAGTATGTCGATTTGTATGCACATATCATTTAAAGTTAAAATTGCCTAAACAGGTTCAGGTACGAATGAGGAGTCGATTCACGGCTGAAAGAGATGTTTAGCGGGCAACGAGCCTGAAAGCCTTTACGATAAGGCGGTTTAACTGGTTATCAATGGGGAGAATTACCCTTTGTTGAGCAGTAGAGCATTAAACTACAGTCATAATTTAGCATTAACATCGCCTAATGTTAACATGATCAAGGCATTCGGTGATGCATGCAATAAGTTTATTGTGTCTGTCAGCTTTAATGATGCCCACAGTGTACATTGATGCAGAGAGCTATTAAAAACACCAACAGGGGTCTAACGTAAAAGCGAAATCCAATAGAACCAGCGTTCTTCCGGCTACAACGGATGGGTAGGGAGAGTTAGTCTCCTTCGGCTTCACTATGCAATTATTTGTGTTTATGCCCTGTGGAATTAACCCAATTATTAAAGCAGAGATGCGAGAAAGTAGTGTTAGTAATTCATTCATTAGTAAGCGAAAAGAAATCAGTCAGTAGGCTGTAGCTGTGAGTTGTAAGACGAAGAAGATACTACTAAAATCTGCCTGTAGGATAAGTTGTTTTCCAGTGCTTAAACCATGGCCCAAGCTTTGAGGAGGCATGAGG